TATAGCCATCACTGGGGGCTTGCAAGGGCGGAAGCCCCGTACACAGGGAGGGAGCAAGGCTGAGAGAGGACGTGTGGGCCATGGGGTGCAGGATGGAGCTGATCTGGTGGGCTCTGCACAGCTGAGAACCCCAAGCTCCCCATGTGCATGAAGGAGCCTCACTCCCATCTCCCAGTCGATGGAAACCATTCACTCCAGGACATGTCTGAGGCCGAAGAAGGCTGGAAACCGGCCCTGGTGCTCTGGCTGCCCTGTCCTGGGCCCCTGCCCTGCCCTCTCTCCGCTACCTTCCCACATGGAACTTGTTTTTTTTTTTTTTTTTTTTTTTTGAGACGGAGTCTCGCTCTGTCGCCCAGGCTGGAGTGCAGTGGCTGGATCTCAGCTCACTGCAAGCTCCGCCTCTCGGGTTTATGCCATTCTCCTGCCTCAGCCTCCTGAGTAGCTGGGACTACAGGTGCCCGCCACCTCGCCCGGCTAGTTTTTTGTATTTTTTAGTAGAGCTGGGGTTTCACTGTGTTAGCCAGGATGGTCTCAATCTCCTGACCTCGTTATCTGCCCGTCTCGGCCTCCCAAAGTGCTGGGATTACAGGCTTGAGCCACCGCGCCCGGCCCCCACATGGAACTTGTATCTCCCATCCTTGGTGGGACAGCAGAGAAGCTGGGCTGAGCCCTGCACTGACACTAGGAGTTGACTATGATTTCTCCCAAATCTTTTTGGTGTCCTCTGCCCCTGAGCCTTGCCCATTTTCATGGAGGCCATCGCTGTCCTCCGGGGCTCCCCCTTGCCACACTCCCCGCCTCTGACCCACAGGCCGCTACTGTGGATTCCTTCTCCAAAACACACACCCACTCCCCGAAACCTCTACTGACCCCATCCTAGGCCCAGTCCCCTTGCCAGTCCCTCACTGGTCCCTCCTGCACTTGGCTTGTGCAAGGAAAACCTGGGGCTCTGCATTTCTGTTTTGTTTTTGTTTTTAAAAAAACCTCTGCCTCCCGGGTTCAAATGATTCTCCTGCCTCAGCCTCCCTAGTAGCTGGGATTACAGGTGTGTGCCACCACGCCTGGCTAACTTTTTGTATTTTTAGTAGAAACAGGGTTTCACCATGTTGGCCAGGCTGGTCTCGAACTCCTGACCTCAGGTGATCCACCCACCTTGGCCTCCCAAAGTGCTGGGATTACAGGTGTGAGCCACCGCACCCGGCCAGGTTCTGCATTTCTACCATTCCAGGAGTAAGGTGCACCCCCACCCAGCAGAGGCCCTGCCCAGAGGCTCTGAGTGGTCCCCACTGCCTCTCTGCTCTTGGTCATCGCTACCCCTCCATATCCCTACGTACCCCCAGCCCCACCAGCTTCCCGCTCCTGGACTTGCCAAGCTCTTTCCCTGAGGCTGCAGCAAGACTGGCATTTCCACCCCAGACTGCCCTGTCTCCAGTGAGCCCCCTCCCTGGTCCTGTCTCCCCATTTCTGACCCACCCCCCTACCGTGTTTGCTTCTTTTATCACACTTTTACCATTTCTTATGATTTCTTATGATTTCCTTGGTCTGTTTCCTTACCCCTTCTGTCTAGATGTCTAGAAAGCCTCTATGGGTGTGGGGGGCTCACCCAGGGCCTGGCACACAGTAGGTGCACAGTAAGTAGGCGCTTTCCATAGGGCAGGGAGTGGCAGCCCAGAACCCGCAGGCCAGGCCCAGTCATGCCTTTCAGTATTGTCTGCAGGCACTTTCAGGCCCCAGGGGGAGAGTTGAGGAGTGAGGACAGAGACCATGTGGCCTGTGAAGCTGAAAATATTTCCTCTCTGGCCCTTTGCAGAAAAAAACGAGCTGACCCCTGGCATAGATTCTCTCACCTAGACCCACGAGGCATGCGGGCCGCCCTGGGGATGCGCCAGTGAGCAAGGGAACCAACAGAGCACACAGCCAGCAGGCATTCCCAGCCCATGGGGGTAGAGCGAGGTAGGAGGCTGGCCCGCGGGGCTGGGGGTGAAGATGGAGAGAATGCAAAAACTTGAGGGACGTGAGGGAGCCACGTGGATATCCAGGCAGAAGGTTCCAGGCAGAGGCCACAGCAAATGCAAAGGCCTCGAGGTAGGAACATGCCTGCTGTGTCCATGGAAGCGCAGAGGCCAGTGTGGCTGGAGCGGGTGGGGGCAACAGGCGAGGGAGGGGTGAGGTCAGTGAGGGAGCAAAGCGACCCCGTGGAGGACCTTTAGTGCAAGTGGCGTGGGACATCGCGCCCGGTTCCAGAGGCTAAATGACTGGCTAGAGCCCCACAGTGATGGAGCTGGACTTGGGTCCCTTCGTCTGAGGGTCAAGGTGGCGATTCTCCATGCCCTGCCATCGCGGGTCCTCCTGTGGGCCAGTGCCCCTGCTTGAGGGATGGCAGCAGGCACCCTAAGATCTGTCTACACAGGCAGCGGCTGGGACAGGTGCTGGATGCACAGACACATGAGGCATTCCTGGGGCACAGCCCAGTGAGGTCAGGGCCTCTGGGGACTGCCTGGGCGCGTGCACTTCAAACAGCCAGGGTACCAGTCCTCTCGCAGCCAAGCCCAGCAATTAGCGTTCCTCAAGCTTCGTCCTCTGCTTCATCCAGGCAGCCCCAGCGTTGGTTCTGAAGCCCAGCCTTGATGTGAGTGGGTGCTCACTGCTTTATAGTTGGGTACACTGAATCACTCCCATCACAAAGTAGAGTTTCAAGGGCCACGTCCTTGCTGCTTCAGGGCAGCAGGGAAGGTTGGGCCTCTTGGCCGGGAGGCACAGGCCTGGGTTCTAACAGTAGTCCCTGCCTGACTCGCTGTGACCTGGACCTCAGTTGTGTCATCTGTAAACTCGGAGAGCCGGACAAGATTGTCCCTAAGATCCTCTCACTTCACTGAGCTCTTCCTTCTGCCGTTTTTTTTTTTTTTTTTTTTTTTTTTTTTTGTTAAACCCCATCTCTACTTAACCTCCACCTCCCCAGTTCAAGTAGTTCTCGTGCCTCAGCCTCCTGAGTAGCTGGGACTACAGGCGCACGTCACTACATGTGGCTAATTTTGTGCATTTTAGTAGAGATAGAGTTTCACCGTGTTGCCCGGGCTAGTCTTTAACTCCTGAGCTCAGGCAATCTGCCCGCCTCAGCCTCCCAAAGTGCTAGGATTACAGGCGCCAGCCACCGTGCCGGCCCCCTCTGCCTTTCTAGAAGTCCCACCCAAGCCATCCACTTTCAGGACCCTCTGAGTGTGAGGTATAAGCTCCACCGCAGAGAAGCCAGCAGGGTGAAACCCTGTGCCCGCGGCTCAGCCTCCCTCCCTCACCAGACCTACCTGGGGCCTCCTCACAGGCCTGGCCTCCTCTTGTCTCTCTCCCCTCCAGTCCACCCTCTGGAAGATTCCAGAGAGCACAAAGTACAAACACGACCATGTCACTATCCTACTTAAACACCACCCTTGCTCCACCTGGGCTCCCTGGATACTTCAACCTCTTACAATTAAACCTCCCTCACCTCATCTCTCACTGCAGGCCAGACGCTGAAAAGTGGCAGCTAAGAGGCAAACGTGGCAACGGGCCTGTTGTGTGTGAATGCTGAGGCATGTTCTCTGGTTTGCCTTTGTCCCCACTACTGCCTGTTACTCACTCCCAGCTTCTCCCCACACTGTTTTTTATCTGGTCCCCAGAAGTGTCTGACTTAGTGATCCCTACAGTCTAGGGCTCCAGACCCGACCACCCCGAGACACATTCTGCCTCTTCTTACCTCTCTCTTTGTCATTTGCTCCCGTCCCCCATCGGCATCCCTGTCTCCATCAGAGCCCAACTCAAATGCCACCCCCAGCAAGCCCCGCTGTGTCCTCTTCTGAGCTTCACGCCTGTCCCATGCATCCATCGATTTCTCACTGCAGTGCGAGCCCCTGGCAGGCCGGGGCCAGGTCTTGTTTCTTTCTGCATCTCTGGCTTCCAGGGAGGTGGTTGGCATGGGGTGGGGTGGAGATCAAGAGATGTGGGAGAGGAAGGGAGAATATGAGTGGAAAACTCTAAACTCAGTCTTAAGGGCAGGCCAAGGCCAAGTCCCTCCGGACTCTAAAGGGCTCCCAGAGAAAGCAAACCTCCTACAGTATGCCAAGGGAATCTGGCGAAGACTGTGGCCCAGGGTTTGCTGCTGGCCACCCCCGAGACCTGCCCACAGGAAGGATGAGACACTCTGGGAACCCCCTCAGAGCCACCCAGCAACGCCAGAGCAGATGGAGGCCCAGTGGGGGCTCTGGATGGACCCTTTCAGGGCCCTCTTTCCAGGTAATCCTGCCCACAGCTCCTGGTTGACCAGCGAGGCCTCTACCTCTCCTGCGCCTCCATTCCCTCCACTAAATCGACGCCTCTTCTGGGCTTTCCTAGTCCCAGAGCTGAATGAAGACGGCCCAGGAGGCCGTTTGCCTCTGAGGGAAAGTCGGGCCTCACAGAGCACTTCCCATGGACACAGCAGCCCTCACCGGCCTCACAGGGACCCTGGGAGACAGGGTCAGCTGCCCCTCCTTACAAGGGAGGAGCCCCAGGCACAGGGAGGCTTGGGGGTCTCAGGGGCTAGTGTCGGCCCCCTCAGAATCAGGCAGCCCCAGGACTCAAGCCCCTTCAGAAGCCTGGGGCTGGATGAAGCTGGCTGCCCCCAGGGACTTGGAGTGAGAGCAAAAGGCCTAGTGTTGCCACAAGGTCACCAGGAGGGCTGGGATAATCTTCCCTTCCGTGGGCCTTAGTTTCCCTCTCTGTAAAGTCAGAGGCTTGGACAAGATGAGCTCTATGCTTCTTCTGACCCTGACATTTGAGGTGTGTTCCTGCTCTTAATATGCCAGTGGGGCAGGGCCAGGCCCCCAAGGATAGGTGTCAGTGATGGAGCCCACCAGCCTTGGGGTGAGAGGCAGGTCAGCTCAGTGCAGACCAGACAGGGCCAAGACCACATGGGCTTTTGGCGCCCCCTCGTGGGAGGTCCTGGCTCACCCCCGTGTCGGCCCCAGTACTGACCTCAGACCATCCTAACACCCTGCGTCTAGAACCTGAGGCAAAGCAGAGGTCACCTGTCCCTGACTAGGGCTGGCTACTGAGCCTCCACCCTGGGAGCTCTGGACCACCTGTCCAGACTCACTGCGTGACCCCAGGTAAGTCATTGCCCCTCTCTGGGCCTCAGTTTGCCCAGCTGTGAAACAAGGCAGAGATGAATGAGAAGACGGCAGGTCCACTTGAGGGGCTCACAGATTGGGGGTGTTTCCAGGCTATGCCAGCAGGGAGCGGGGGGAAGCTCACCGATATCTTGGTGAAGACAGACAGTAGCAGGGACAGGACAGACAGGTACATGCGGATCCGCTGGCCTCCATAGCGCTTCTGAATGTACTCAGGTAAGGTGACGATCTGGGGAGGCACACGGGTAGGGGCTAAGCATCTCCCAGACGATGCCCAGCACTCCAGACAGGGCCTGTCTCAGTCACTCTGCCTCTCCCACCGCCACAAAGCAGCTGTGAGCCTCTCAAGGGCAAGGCCCAGGCACTGACCCCTTACAGCCTCAGCACCCGGCCTTGAATCCCAGGCTGCTCCAGCTGCGTCCCGAGGGTGTCAGGCAGGGGAGTTGCAGGCTGAGATCCCAAGACTGGCTCTTTAGGGCCGAGACGAGGAATGGATTGGAGGGGCCGTGGCTGGAGACAGAGGGACAAGTTTAGAGGCTGTTTTGACAAACCCAGGTGCACTATGATGAGGCTGGATGAGGGAGGTGGCTGCGAGGGGCAGAGCTGGGGAAGGCTGAGAGACATCCGGGAAGTGGAGTTGACTGGATTTAGTGGCTACATGGTCAGGGCTGAAGGAGTGGGCAGAGTCGAGGATGGTACAGCCCGGTGTGCCATTCAGGCATGCCACCCAGGTGTACAGCCCAGGTATGCCACCCAGGTGTGTGGACCAGGTGTGCAAACCAGGTGCGTGGCCCAGGTGTGCAGCCTATGTGTGCTGGTTGGGACATTGTTCCTGAGACGCAGCACTCAGGGCCGTGGAAAGCAGCCAACACAGCACCCAGGCTGAGGTCCAAGGGGACCCACCTTAGTGGGTTGATACAAATGTTAGTTGGGCTAATAGCAAATCCAGCCCTAAGAGTTCACCAAGTCCTGATGTGAGGCCACGGTGGTCCTGCCCATTACTACCATCCACTTGGACCAAGGCCCAGCCCCCCGGTTGGAGGCCTCATGAGTAGACTCACCTCTGAGGAGATGTAGATGGGCACGAACACCCACGCCAGTGCCAGCAGCACGTACGTGGCCTGTGGGGACAGAGGCAGGTGAGGACTACAGGTGCAGCTCCCACAGCTCTGCTCCAGAGACACAGCAGACAGAGCCATCTGGAGGCCTGGCTTCCCCCCGCCCCTCCTGACTTGCCATGAGATCCTGGGTGGCTCCTTCCCCTCTCTGAGTCTGGGGAAAGGCCCACAGCTCCCTGCCAGTCATGCCATCCAGCACCTTGGTATTCTGAAGACAGGATTTGGCCCAGGTGGGCTCTGGGCACTGCACAGAGCCCACCTGGACATGGGCTGACACCAGCCACTGGGAGCTGCCCCCCTCCAGGGCTGTGGCCGCACCCTGTGCCCTGGCCCTCCCACAGGCTGCCTGTCCTCCAGGACTCACATTCCATTCAAAGCCTGCCACGGCCAGACCTCCTGCCGCGCCTGAGCCCGCCAGTCCAATGAAGAGGCCAGAGCCCTCGCTGCTGGCAAAGAGGGAGGCTCCGATCTGGAGGAGAGAAAGGGAAACGCATCAGAGGCAGGCTCCCTGCACCGGCCCCATCCTGGGCCTGACAGCCTCTCCTTCATCCTCACAAACCTAAGCGGGGTCCTAGCCCCACCTCACGGATGAGGAGCCCAGGGTGTGAGTTCTACCCATGACTAGCTGCACAGCTAAGGAGTGGATGTAAGTTTCAGACTCCAAAGCCCCTGCCCCTCCCACAATTTCTAGCAGCTCAGACCTATGCCCCTCACTTGGGGACCTCCTGCCCGCCTCCAGCCTGTTCCACTGAATTGGACTGGCTCAGAGATGCAGGTGCCAGGTGACCTAGAGATCAGACACAGCCCCACGGACAAAGTGGGGTGTGTGAGAAGTCAGGGTGCACTCACCGGCCACCACGTCATGTCCCGGCCTGCTAGGAAGTAGCCATTCACCGTGTTCCTGCTGGCCCGACAAGAGGACTGCAAGAAGAGAAAGACGAGACAGGAGTTGGAAGCCCGTGCACTGCTGGTGGGAAGTAGAATGGGACTGCTGCTGCGGAAACGGCGTGGCAGCTCCTCAAAAAGTTACGCATAGAATCACCATATGACCCAGAAGTTCCACTCCTAGGTGCATGTCCAAGAGAACTGAAAATACACATCCACTCAAAAACTTGTACACGAATGTTCATAGCAGCATTATTCATGATAGCCAAAAGTGAAAACAACCAACATTTCTGTTGATGATGAGTAAATAAACAAAATGTGGTGTATCCTATATAAAGGAATATTATTCAGTCTTCAACAGGAATGAAGTTCTGCCGGGTGCCGTAGCTCATGCCTGTAATCCCAGCACTTTGGGAGGCTGAGGCAAGCAGATCACTTGAACCGAGCAGTTTGAGACCAGACTGGGCAACATAGTGAGACCCCAGGTCTACAAAAAATGCAGGGTGTGGTGGCACACACCTGTGGCCCCAGCTACTTAGGAGGCTGAGGTGGGAGAATCACTTGAGCCCAGGAGGCGGATGATGCAGTGAGCAGTGACTGTGCCACTGCACTCCAGCCTGAGCAACAGAGTGAAATCCTATCTCAAAAAACAACAACAGATATCTTGGGAATGAAGCCCTGATGCATGCCCAACTTGGATGGACCTTGACAACACGATGCTTCATCAACAGAGACAGACACAAAAGGCCACGAATTGTATGATTCCATTTATATGAAATGTCCAGAACAGGCACATTTATAGAGATAGAAAGCAGATGAGTGGTTGCCAGGGGCTGGGGACAGGAAGAACGGTGCTTGACTGCTTATGGGGACAGGGTATCCATTTGGAGTGATGAAAATGTTTTGGAGCTAGCTACAGGTAATGGTTGCCCAACATTGCAAATGTACGAAATGCCATGAATTGCACACTTTAAAATGGTTAAAATGGGCAGGCGCGGTGTCTCACGCCTGTAATCCCAGCACTTTGGGAGGCCGAGGCGGGTGGATCACGAGGTCAAGATCGAGACCATCCTGGCCAACGTGGTGAAACCCTGTCTCCACTAAAAATACAAAAACTAGCCGGGCGAAGTGGCAGGCGCCTGTAGTCCCAGCTACTCGGGAGGCTGAGGCAGGAGAATTGCTTGAACCCGGGAGGTGGAGGTTGCAGTGAGCCGAGACCGTGCCACTGCACTCCAGCCTGGTGACAGAGTGAGACTCTGTCTCTAAATAAATAAATTAATTAAAATTGTTAAAATGATGAATTGTATATTATGTAAATTTCATCTCAACTTTTATAAAACGAACAGAAGCAGTCAGTTCCTTACCCACGTATTCCCACATGCCTTTGGTTTCGGGGGAGTGTAGAATTTTGTCCTCCATGTAGATGGAATAAAAAATCTGCAATCAGAATGTCTGGGAGTAAAATCCTGTCTTCTCTGCTTCCTGGCCATGTTACCTTGGGCAAGTTACTGAACGCATGTGCCTTGGTTTCTTCCTCTGTAACATGGTCCTAAGAAGTTCTTCCTTCATGAATTTTGTTTTGTTTTGTTTTTTGACAGAGTCTCACTCCATCACCCAGGCTGGAATGCAGTGACAGGATCTCGGCTCACTGCGATGTTCACCTCCGGGGTTTGAGCGATTCTCCTGCCTCAGCCTCCACAGTAGCTAGGATTACAGGTGCACACCACCACACCTGGCTAATTTTTTGTGTTTTTGGTAGAGAGGAGGTTTCGCTATGTTGGCCAGGCTGGTCTCTAATTCCTGACCTCATGTGATCCGCCTGCGTTGGCTTCCCAACGCTCAGAGGGTTTTTATGAGCTTTAGTGGGTTAATACATGCAGCATGCTGAGAATGGTGCCTGGCATCTGGTAAGTGTTTGATAAGGGTCAGTGAGTACATGGATTTTTCTTTTTTCTTTTTTCTTTTTTTTTTTGAGACGGAGTCTTGCACTGTCGCCCAGGCTGGAGTGCAGTGGCGCGATCTCGGCTCACTTCAAGCTCCGCCTCCTGGGTTTACGCCATTCTCCTGCCTCAGCCTCCTGAGTAGCTGGGACCACAGGCGCCTGCCACCACGCCCGGCTAATTTTTTGTATTTTTAGTAGAGATAGGGTTTCACCGTGTTGGCCAGGATGGTCTCGATCTTCTGACTTCGTGATCCACCTGCCTAGGACTCCCAAAGTGCTGGGATTACAGGCATGAGCCACTGCGCCTGGCTGGTACATGGATTTTTCAAGCCCCTCCTTAGTGCTATTTGGATGGGAGAAATTAAAGTTAAATCATCTGGGCATGGTGGCTCATGCCTGTAATCTCAACACTTTGGGAGGCCAAGGAAGGAGGGTTGCTCAAGCCAGGGATTCAAGACTAGCCTGGGCAACATAGTGGGACTCTGTTTCTATAAAAAGTTTTAAAATTAGTTGGACATGGTGGTGCATGCTTGTAACCCCAGCTACTCGAGAGGCTGAAGTAGGAGGATCACTTGAGCCCAGGAAGTCAAGGCTGCAGTGAGCCGCGATGGTGCCACTGCCCTCCAGCCTGGGCTGCAGAGCAAGACTCTGTCTCAAAAAAGAAAAAAAGAAAAAAGAAAGAAAAAAGGAAAAAACAGAAGAATTTGAAAAGATGGGCACAGGACAGGTATTTAGACATAGATTTTGTATTTCTTTTCAGAACATACCTAAGGCTGGATCACAAAATATATCCATCAATATGCAGGTCTCTTTCTTCCCGAATTAATTGCCCTGTCCTATACTCAAGATGATTAGGCTTCATTGTATGGACTCACCATTCAAAGTTTTATTTATCTATTATTTATTTATTTATCTATCTATCTATCTATCTATCTATGTATTTATGTATTTATTTTTGAGACAGAGTTTCGCTCTCGTTGCCCAGGCTGGAGTGCAATGGCGCGATCTTGGCTCACCGCAACCTCTGCCTCCTGGGTTCAAGTGATTCTCCTGCCTTAGCCTCCCTAATAGCTGAGATTACAGGCATGTGCCACCACGCCCAGCTAATTTTGTATTTTTAGTAGAGACGGAGTTTCTCCATGTTGGTCAGGCTGGTCTCAAACTCCCAACCTCAGGTGATCTGCCTGCCTCGACCTCCCAAAGTGCTGGGATTACAGGCATGAGCCACCGCGCCTGGCCTATTTTTTTTTTTTTTTTTTAAGACAGGGTCTTATTATGTTGCCCAGGCTGGTCTTGAACTCTTGGGCTCATGTGATCTCCCCGTCTCAGCTTCCTGAGTAGCAGGAACCACGTGGACACCACCACACCCAGTTCAGAACTTTTGATGTGGCTCCTGAATGTTTCTCTCCAGCTCCAGCTCCAGCTCCAGCTCCAGCTCCCACCACTTTCTCTTTGTGTGCTGTGATCTTGCCATAGTACATGCGCATAGTCTGAAGGCTCACCCTCTTGGCCAGGATGGCCATATCCGGATGTGTACGGGGTGCACTGCACAACTTCAGAGCATCTATGGTTACAGCCAGTGCTTTTTCCTGACACTTCTCATTTTTCAAGCCTATAGTGGGCATTGTTAGTTGCCTTCTTATATCCAGGGCTCTGGGGGCTGCTGGCAGTTGCTGGGGGCCACATGTACCCATTTAAGGCTCCCCGAGAACCCCGTATGCCAGAGTTGGCTTCAACTGCTTGACCTGTGTGGAGTTCTTAGTCCTCGCAACAGCTCTATGAAGTAGGTGCCATGTTCCCAATGAGGAACCTGATGGTCTCAGAGATGAAAACATACCCATCTAGCAAGTGGCGCAGCCTGGATTTTAACTCAGGCTCAATCACTGGGCTGGTCATTTCACATCAGGAAATGAGGGGAGCTGGCTTAGGACAGAGCTACACATGGATGGAGGCTAAGAGAACCACAGTGAGGTGTAGCTGTATCCTTAATAATGCTGTGAACCTGGATCATACTGCACCTGAAGCCCTTTCTGTTGCTGGACACAATTACGTTTCCTGTATTCTTTTTTTTTTTTGGAGACAAACTTTCACTCTTTTGCTCACGCTGGAGTGCAGTGGCATGATTTCAGCTCACTGCAACCTCCGCCTTCCGGTTTCAAGCGATTCTCCTGCCTCAGCTTCCTGAGTAGCTGGGATTATAGGTACCCGACTAATTTTTGCATTATTAGTAGAGATGGGGTTTCATCATGCTGGCCAGGCTGGTCTCGAGCTCCTGACCTCGTGATCCACCCGCCTCAGCCTCCGAAAGTGCTGGAATTACAGGAGTGAGCCACTGCACCCGCCCTACATTTCCTATAATCTTAGAGCTCATTTGAAAGTAGTTTTCTGTCACTTGTTAACAGATATTTTAATTAATGCAAAGGCTCAGCTCAAAGTCCCCTCCTCCAGGAACATCTCTTCCTTAAAGGCTCCCGCCGCAGACTCTCCCAGGCCCACCATCTAAACATCTTTGCAGGGCTGCACCTGCCTGGCTTGCTCTGTCTGCTTCTCCCTGTGGGATGCAGCTCCAGCATCCTCCCTGTCTGGTTCTGATCTTTTCTGGATGTGCTCACTGCTCTCTGGCCAGCCACTCCCCACTGGGCCAGCCTGGCCTGCTTGGAGGGACAGGGCAGAAATCCTACAGCCCTACTGCCAGGGGCACCAATCTGCAAACAGCAAGGCTGAGCTAGGAGAGGTGGGTCATGGGCAACAAGGGCTGGTGACCCAAGTCACTGGGCTACAAAGGGCCTGGCCTCAGGTGCCCAGAACATCTTTCTTAGACATGCACTTCTGATGAAATACCCCACCTGTGCTAGCCAGGACAGCCTTGTCTCCCCTCCTCTTTCCCTCTCAGATCTTACCTGGCCCTTACCTCCCCTCATCCAGAAACCCTCCACTGCCTGTTCTGCCCCACGTGGGCACCTCTTCCACTGAATTCTAGCCACCAACTCTCACAGGAATATAGCATATTACAGTTTGCAACAGATTTTCACTTCTATTGGCCCCTTGCTCCTTGGAACAGCCCTGAGATGTGGGCTGCACAGAAACCCACATTGCGTGTTTGAGGAAACTGCAGACCACAGAGGTTAAGTGACTTAAGTACACAATGCAGAGCCGAGACTTGAACTCGGCTTTGCCGATGGCCAGCACTGGGCTGCTTGTGAGTTAATATTTAATCACATACAGGTTGAGGAGCCCTTATCCGAAATACTTGGAACCAGAAGAGTTTTGCATTTCAGACTCTTTCAGATTTGGGGATATTTGCAGAATACCTGCCAGTTAAACATCCCCAACCCAAAAATCTAAATCTGAGATGCTCCAATGAGCACTTGCTTTGAGCATCATGTTGATGTTCAAAATGTTTCAGATTTTGGGATTTAGATTTTTGAAATCCAACCTGTGATAATTAATTTTAATGACTGCGGCTGCTACTATTATAAATCACCACTGCTACAACCACCACCACCACCACTACCACTGTAGAACCAATGGCAGCAGCAAGGTCTGGTCCTGTGCAGGCCTCTTGATAGCAGGCACCCCAGGTAGGTGGTGTCTCCATGTCACAGATCAGAACACTGAGGCCCAGAAAACTGAGGGGACATGACCAGTCTCCTGTTTGCCAGGCCTTCGTGCTTAGGCCAGGGGTTATGGTAGATAAGAAGGGATACTCGGCCCGGTGTGGTGGCTCTCGCCTGTAATTCCAGCACTTTGGGAGGCCAAGGCGGTCAAATCATGAGGTCAAGAGTTCGAGACCAGCCTGGCCAACATGGTGAAACCCTGTATCTACTAAAAATACAAAAAATTACCTGGGCGTGGTGGTGGATGCCTGTAATCCCAGCTACTTGGGAGGCTGAGACAGGAGAATTGTTTGAACCCAGGAGGTGGAGGATGCAGTGAGCTAAGATGGTACCACTGCATTCCCGCCTGGGTGACAGTGCTAGACTCCGTCTCAGTTAAAAAAAAAAAAAAGAAGGAGTACTCATTCTCCCCAGGAGACTGTCAGGGCTCAGGGATGCCGGCCTGGGGACCTCTGGGACTAAGGAAGTGGAGCCCAACCTCCAGGCACTAAGCATGGAGCAGGTGACCTGGACCAGGCTGTGTCCACCTTCCCTCAGGAAGGCTTCCACGATAGACCAAAGGGGAGCCCTTCCCTCGCCGCAGGGCCAGAGCCTTGGCTTCTCCATCTGCACATGAGACAGCCTGTCTCCAAGGGCCCCGCTGCCCCTGGAATCTGTGCGTGGGGTCAGATCACTGCTCACTTCTCACTCTTACGAAAGGAGAAAGAACCGGCTTATGATCTAGAGCTAGGCCACAGGATGTGAATCCCAGGGAGCTTGTTAAAAATAAAGACCCCTAGCTCCCAGGGCCCTCCCTTCCTCTGGATTCTGATCCAGCAGCTCTGGGTGCAGCCAGGGAATCCCTAGGAGCCTGTTGTTCAAGCAGATGGGAGTCACTGACACCATGGAGACTGGGACCAGGAGGCTGATGGCCACACCCAAGGACTCCAACTGGGCAGCAGCACAAAAGCCCAGTTACCTGTTACAGAGACCTTTCCTTCTCCTCACTTTACAGATGGAGACGCCATTACCCAAATAGAGAAAGGGGCTTGGTCAAGGTCTCCAAGCAAATCTGCCCCAGGCTGGGAGGAGGACCACAGGATCACCAGGCCACCAGGTGGGACCAGCGCTGACACCACAGGACATGCTGGACCCCGGTTCCCATCCCAAGCACCCACCCTGAGAGCCCAGTTGGCCACCACCACCACAGTTCCCCTTACCCATATGCCCACGGCCACATTCAGAGCAAAATACACGGTGATGACAATGATGTCAGCCACGCTCAGCTGCGTCCCGGGAGCATGGAGGTCGCTGGTGGAGTTGGTGGCCATGGCTGTCCTGCCTCAGGCACTAGGTCCGAGCCCGAGGGACTGAGGGGCAAACCAGGTCAGAAAGGACTTCCTGGCAGGGAGCTAATTGATCATTAAACCGAGCGGACAGTGGCATCTCCAGCCCATGATGTGACTGCGTGCAGGGCAGCTGCGTCACTATGCCGTTTGGCTTCCTCATCCCATGGTGGGGAGCAGATCCCAGAGCATAGGAGTCAGGGAGGCTGGGAGAAGTGAGTGGGAGGAGGAGGGGAGGGAGCCTCCTTGAACTCGGAAGGGGCTTGGGGAAAATTAACTGCGTTTAGTGGACCCAGAGGCAACCCAAATAGTCCCAGAAAGGCTGGGTTGCTTAATGGGTGGCTTCACCTATATCTAATTTGTATAAGAAGCATAGAGCGTCGGGACGAATGTCTCACCTCTGAAGACACTGCCGTGGTGTGCAGCCATGTCCTCCCTTGGCCATCGGGCTGTGAGTGGACTGAGCAGGGCTTGGGAGGGTGACACCCGCATTATGGCTCACTTCCAGCCAACACAGCTCAGGCTCAGAGACAGCCCCGTGTCGGACAATAAAGTCCTGCTTCCAACGTTTCTGCTGTCTTTTTCTAGACCGGTGAAACAGCCCCAAGCCCCTCAACTTGACCATCCATTCGGCCCCCGCCCCCAGTGTCTGCCTGGGACCACAGAGGGACCCAATGTCTATCAAACACCAAGGACCATGCGTGGCTGTTCTGCACATGATCCCATTTCACGCTCACAGCAGCCAGGCCGAGTAGGCCATGTCTCATCCCACTCAAGGAAATGGCCATCCGCCGTTACACAGCTGTTGAAGGCGCAGAGCAGGTTTCAGTGCAGATGTGGCCCCACCGTCTCCACCGCAGTGACAGTGACAGTTCCATTTGGATTCCATCAGAGTGGGATGCTTGCTCACTAATTCTATCAGTGTACACAGCAGGGCTGGCTGGCAGTCTCACACCTCTGCTCAGTGACGTGACTTTGCAAAGCATTTGCAGTTTAACCAGGCAAGCAACACTTCCAGAAGTGTTAATGAGTGAGCGACTGCCACCAGGAACACGCTGGCCTGCAAACCCAGCCAGCCTGTTACTGGATAACCCTGAGGTGCAGGTAAAAATTAATCACCTCGGCCAGGCGCAGTGGCTCATGCTTTTGGGGGGCTCATGCCTTTAGGAGGCCAAGGCGGGTGCATCGCCTGAGGTCAGGAGTTTGAGACCAGCCTGGCCAACATGGCGAAACTCCGTCTCTACTAAAATTACAAAAATTAGCCGGGCATGGTGGTACGTGCCTGTAATCCCAGCTACTTGGGAGGCTGAGACAGGAGAATTGCTTGAACTCAGGAGGTAGAGGTTGCAGCAAACCAAGATTGCGCCATTGCACTCCAGCCTGGGTGACAGAGGGAGACACCATCTCACGAAACAAACAACAACAAAAAAAACCCAATTAATCCCCTCACATACAGGGCTAGGCAGAAGAAGGAAGGGAAAAGGGAAGTCACTGCTGAGAGAACCCACAGGCAGGCTCAACTGCCTGCCATCTCCCCTTGCCTCCGGCCAGCCAGTCTCAGATGATGTTTACTTCCCAAGCCATTGCTCGAAATGTGTTATAAAATAAAAGACTGCTTTGCACTGATCAGAAGGACCCAGCTGGAAGGATCCACACTTATCTAACCTATCTCATTAAGATAGAGTAGTTGCACCAGCAGCATTGGCTCTAAGAGCCTTGGTTAGGTCTCAGAAGGAAATAAACCACTTAGTGATAATTGCCGTTTTTGGATCAAAAGTCCTAGGGATTTTTGCCACTGAGTTTAAAGGGAAACAAAAAAATGAAAAAAGAGAAAAAAATGCCTAGGGAAAAAAAGCACCGGTAAAGGTGCTCTTTTTTTTTTTTTTTTTTTTTGAGACGGAGTCTTGCTCTGTCGCCCAGGCTAGAGTGCAGTGGCCAGATCTCAGCTCACTGCAAGCTCCGCCTCCCGGGTTCATGCCATTCTCCTGCCTCAGCCTCCCGAGTAGCTGGGACTATAGGCGCCTGCCACCTCACCTGGCTAGTTTTTTGTGTTTTTTTGTAGAGACAGGGTTTCACCATGTTAGCCAGGATGGTCTCGATCTCCTGACCTTGTGATCCGCCCGTCTCAGCCTCCCAAAGTGCTGGGATTACAGGCTTGAGCCACCGCACCTGGCCAAAGGTGCTCTTAAGGGCCTGAGACTGATTTGCTGAAGGACGGGAACAGGAGGAGGGTGGTGGCGGAGGACATGGAGGGAGGGAGAAGTACCAAACAAGCCCAGCCATGTCTGCGGACGATGAAATGCCACCTGGAACCCAATCACACCCACATTCCCACCCCACCTGACCCACCAGGGTCACCTTTTCACTCACCCCAAGAAAGATGGAGACCGTTCTAGCTGAGAAGTCATCCGTACCACCCCCCTTTAAGTCACTTCCATCCCCAGGAGAAGTCCCTCAGACTCATAAGAACCAGGAACGGGACGTGGAGGGGTCAGCGGAGTCTGAGCGGGATGACTGGAGCCATTTGTATCTTGTGTATGGGGGACATCTATGAGTTTATGAGTTTCTTTCTTAAGTGTTTCAGAATTGTGACCAAGGCATGACCAACCATGGGATGAGCTGGGCAGCACTGGAACGGACCGCACATGAGTGAAGGGAGCCCACGGTCATCTGTGGCAGCTTGCAGCGAACCCCTCCAGGGCCTCTCTCTGCCTGCCTGCCAGGTCTAGTTCCAGCTTATCTGTTGCTCCTGGTTTTGCAATAAGCACAAGACTGATCATTTATTCCTGCTAAGTATTGTCTGCCTGTCTGCCATGATGGAAACACTCCCCAACAGTCCTAAGCTGCAAGGGCAACGGTGCTCAGGGCAGCCAAAAAATTTGGAAATTTCCTACATAACCACCCAGAGAAGGTGGTGAGTGAATTATGAGACCTCCAAACCATGGAACACCATGACCATTGAAAAGATGAGGTGGCTTTATATAATGGCATGGAAGGATGATATACTCGTAAGTAAAAAAAGCAAGCTACAGAATATAGATCTATATCCATGTTTATCCCCTCATTATGTATAATGTAAGGGGCTGAACAGTCACAGTGTTTTGAAGGACACACACCAAACTGCTAAGGAGAGGAGAAAGGAGAATTATCACTTCTTTTTTTTTTTTTTTTTTTTTTTTTTTGAGACAAGGTCTGGCTCTATTGCTCAGGCTGGAGTGCAGTGGTGCAATCACAGTCTCAGCCTCCTGGGCTCAAGTGGATCCTCCTACCTCAGCCCCGCAAGTAGCTGGGGCCACAAGCACGCACCACCATAGCCAGCAAAGTTTTGTGTTTTTTTGTAGAGACAGGGTCTTACCATGTTACCCAGGCTGTTCTCAAACTCCTGGGCTCGAGCAGCCTTCCAAAGTGCTGGGATTACAGGCGTCAGCCACTGTGTCTGACCCAAGTTATCACTTTTTACGCTCTGGTGTGGGTTGGCCTTTTCTGTAAGACCTCTGACCTTGGCCTTGGTTTAGACCAGCAAGCTGACCCCCAGGGGTGCCCCCGACCCTGCCTGGGCTCCCCTCACCAGCCAGGTCAGGCAGTTTCCTGCCACTGATATGGAGGCTCAAGGAGACTGTTGCCAGGTGCTTTGTGAAGGGTGGTGGGTCCTGGACAACCATTTCCTGAATGCTCACCTGCCCACCTGTCCTGGGCACCTGCATCTGCGTGAGTTGATCACCTCCCAGCAGCCCTTCCAGGTGACCTTCACTTCCCTCCACGCCGCCGCTCTGCTGGCCGAGTACCACGTTCTCTCATCCAGGTACCCTCTTGACCACTCCCCTTGAGGGCTTCAGGTTTGAGAGTCCACCCTCCATCACTCCCCATCCAACCCCCCCACCTCCCAAAGCTCAGTGGGCTCGGCTGGGACCCCAGGGGCCAGCCCACAGCCTCATCTTTACCACGGTTACGGACGCCTACTGAGCGGTCCCATGTGTGCACGCATGGTCCACCCTCAACTCTCCCAACTTTTTGAAGGATGGAAAATCTGAGGCACAGAGAAAGAGAGGAACTTGCTCGAGGTCACACAGCAACTAAGAGACAGAGGAGGACTTTGAACCCAAATTGTCCAGCTCTTGAATCTGCCCTTTTAATATTAAACTCCAACACCCAGCATGGCTCATGACAGGTATTCAGTGGGAATGAATGACCGCTCCCCTCAGCCCCTGGGGTCCCAGCCAAGCCCAGGGAGCTTGGGGAGAGGGTGGGTTTGGGCGGGCAGTGATGGAGGTTGGACTGTCCAGCCTCAGGCCCTCGGGGGGAGTGGTCAAGCGGGCACCTGGATGGGAGAACCCGGAGCTCAGCCAGCAGAGTAACAGAGTGGAGGGAAGTGAAGGCAGCCGGGAAGGGCTGCTGGGAGGTAACGGAACCGATGCAGACCAGGCGCCGATGCAGACCAGGCGCCGATGCAGACCAGGCGGGGAGGGACGGATCACCGGCCTCCAGTCTTATTCTTTTGAATCTGCCCACCACGCACAGGATGTCAGAACACCCTAAAAGCCTAACCCTGGACATGACACGCCTGTTTCAGACTTACCTTCAATGGCCTTTACTGCTCCAGAGATCGAATGCAAGGCCTTGGGCTCAGCACCAGGGGCCCTGGAACCTGGCCCTGCCCCCACCCAGCTCTAGTTCCTGCTGCCCCCAGTTCCTCCCTGGGTGTCCTCAAGTCCCCCTACCTCTCAGTCTGCTTGGTGAACTGGTACTTATCCTTCAAGATGGAACTGAGACATCACCGTCTCTGTGAAGGCTTCCTTGGCTCCTCCCTCTTCTGGGCCTCCCTGGCCCTGCTGGGCTCGTGGCTGTGCCACCACATGACACAGTAGTATCTGCCCCCACCCCCCTGCCACCCTGCTCCTCCGGTGACTGACACAGGGTCTCCCCTCACCACGTCACTGCAGGAGGTCCAAGGAGCCCAGGGAACTGAGGAATCTTCAGATGCTGGGGCCGCTGAGGCCCTTCAATCCCAGAAGCCTCTTTTCTTTCTTTCTTTTTTTTTTTTTTTTTTTGAGACGAAGTCTCGCTCTGTCTCGCTCTGTCGCCCAGGCTGGAGTGCAGTGGCACTGCACTGGGCTCACTGCAAGCTCCACCTCCTGGGTTCACACCATTCTCCAGCCTCAGCCTCCCAAATAGTTGGGACTACAGGCGCCCGCCACCACGCCCAACTAATTTTTTATTTGTATTTTTAGTAGAGACCGTGTTAGCCAGGATGGTCTCGATCTCCTGACCTCGTGATCTGCCTGTCTCAGCCTCCCAAAGTGCTGGGATTACAGACGTGAGCCACCGCGCCTGGCTCGCCTATTCTTTTTTTTTTTTTTAAATCATTATCGAGGGAGAACACTAACATAATGTTTTTATCATTATCGAGGGAGAACTTAACATAAAATCTGTCATTTTAACCCCTTTAAAGTGTACAAGTCTGTGGCTTCCAGTACCTTCACAATGCTGTGCACACATCGCCATTACCTATTCCAACGTTTTTCTTTTTATTTATTTAATTTTTTCGAGACGCAGTCTTGCTCTGTCACCCAGGCTGGAGTGCAATGGCACGATCTCGACTCACTGCAACCTCCGCCTCCTGGGTTCAATCAATTCTCCTGCCTCAGCCTCCCGAGTAGCTGGAATTACAGGCATGCACCACCACGCCTGGCTAATTTTTGTATTTTTAGTAGAGACAGGGTTTCACCGTGTTGGCCAGGCTGGTCCTGAACTCCTGACCTCAGGTGATCCACCCACCTCAGCCTCCCAAAGTGCTGGGATTACAGGCATGAGCCAGCGTGCCCAGCCTGTTCCAACATTTTTAATCCCCTCCAATGAAACCTTGTACCAATTAAGCATCACTCTTCATTCCCCCTCCCCAAGCCTCTGGCAGCCACCAGTCTACCGTTCCCTCTTTGTGGATTTGCCCTTCTCTGGTGTTGTGGTATCACAGGTATGTAGGAGTTGCCTTCTCTAGTGTTGTGGTGTTGTATATATACATAGGTTTCCACCCAGGGTTCCTGACTCAACTCCATAGCCCTTGCTACATTCTATTGTTATCACATCTGGCATGTCAGGCCTCAGGA